GATTCATTCTTGTTCCCCCGACTGTCGGACAGAACAAAGAGCCACATGGTCATGCAATGGGATGGGGTGGGAGGCCACGTGTGGCTGGGAAGAGGATGGAGGGATCACGTCAATGAAAGAGCTATGTTTCCCAGGACACGTGAGAACTCGACACCAAGAAATTACAATAGCATTGACCAGGGCAGTAAGGAGTTGTGTCAGTCACTCAGCATTGAAAGACGACCTCGTCAGTGCTACAAGAAATGGGGGAAGACTTCTTTTTTAAATTTCCTGAAGTGGGTACTCTTGTCTTATTAATGTTCACCTTTTCATTGCATCAATCATCCTACTAAGAAAAAATGGTTAATGAAAGTGTGTGGAGAATATATGATATTTGAGAACCACCACAAAAAAAGTTGAAAGAAACAGGTGCCCAGGTTCATAGCAGCCCTCTTTCCCCCTCAATACAGGCAGGCACCTGACTCTTGCCTTCTAGGGGCGATTTACCAGGAAATTAATGAAGCTTAAACTTGGGGCCTCACTAGCATGTGCTCTCTTGAGTGCTGGCGGTGACTGGGAGCCACAGAGTGTTCAGGGAAGAGGGAAAGTCAGGCTGCCGTCAGGAAGTATTTCTGGTAAGTTGCTAAAGACAGCACAGAAGAAAAGGACCCAGCTATTGAAAATTCCAGAACCTGGATCTACCATTGGACTCAACCTCTCCTCCAGCACACAGCCACCCTACCTCGTCTCCAGGTTTCACATGCTTCTTTCAAATGTCCTGTCTCCCAACTTACCTTTGTGTCACTGCTGCTGGGAACTGAGGGTCAGTTTGGTATAAAGGCTCTGGTTGGAGAATCCCAGGCAGGGTCACAGCCTTGACTCTACTGACACCAGACGGTGTTTCGGGCACTTTCCCCCAAGGCGATCCCAGGACCCATGACAAGCCCATACCAGCCACCTTGGGCGCCCGGCAGCCTGCAGCTACAGAAGGTTGTCCACAGCGCCCCTTCCTCTACGCCCAGCTGCCAGGAGCCAAGCACCGAGGCGGGCAGTCGGTCCTTGGCTGAACAACACCGTCAAAGGGTCAGGACTTCTGGTAACAGGAGGTCTTAGCGAAACTCCGGGCAAATGTGAATTCTTCCAAGACCCAGGCACGCAGGGTCTGAACTCTCAGTGTCCTTGATCCCACGTGACAGGGTGATTCATTCTGTTCTTGGGGAGGTGGGCAGCTAATTGACTCCCTGAGTATAAAGGGAAGCCCTGGGTTCCGGGAAGCAGGCCAGCTTGCTCTGACTGATGTCTGCATTCAGCTGGCAGTGGCTGCCTGGTCTGTTGCAGGAGTTAGTAACCTTGGGGTCCTCCAGGTAGGCAGATGGCCTGGCAATCTTGCTTGCACTGTCAGGCTTGGCTTCTTACAAACTTCATTCACTCGCTCACTTGCTGACTGGTATTTCTGGAGCATTTACATCATGCTAGATTCTCTGCCACGTATAGGGGATACTGACATAAAACGAAACACAATCCCTGTGTTCACAGACCTTGCACAATAGTGAGCAGACAGATGTTCATCAGTTTCACACAGGGATGATTATGAAAAGGGGTAAAGACTACGGAGGAGAACAAGCGAGGGAGAAACCTGATCTGGTCAAAAAGGCGTGGAAGAGTTTCCCCTAGGAAGTGGCATTTTGCTGAGCTCTGAAGGATGAGCAGGACCTCACTGTGTGTCCTGGGGCCAGGGTGAGGGTGTGAATGGGAGGGAAGGGAGAGGAGCGTCCCTGGCAGTGGCAGGACGCGGTGGCAGGAGGGAAGCCTCACACATTAGGGAGATCAGGAGGTGAATGTCACTGGAGCACACAGGAGGCTGGAGGGAGCAGGCTCAGGCTTGAGATCTTTGCCTTTATTCTGAGCAATGAGAAGATATTAAGGAGGGGTCACGCAGTGTCAGATGCATGTTCTGAGAAAAGTCACTCCAGCTGCAAAGTGGAGAATGGATGACATGAAGGATGGAGTGGAGTGGGAAGGCAAAAATAATGCGGTCCTTTCCCGAATGCACAGGGGTCAGCTGGCCCTGATTAAATTTTGGATGTTGGGAAGTGGAACGTGTTTATGTATGCACTTACTTATTCAGAAATGAATCTCCACAGAGAGGGCAGAGAAAAGCCACTAAAGGGAACCACTTCTATTATTCACTCCTTTCTGGATCACTGATAAAACCTCCCTCTTTAACCTTCTCTCTACTCTGGACCCTGTTTTAATGAGGATTTTCAGAACAATTCCATACTACACACATAACACCGGGCTAGGAGCTCAGGATCCCCATCTTGGCTTCTCCTTCAAGTCAATTTCCCTGCCTATTTAGTTTTCATACAATTTGTTTTGAGAATCAAATGAGATGACAGAGGAAAAGGACTGAACAAAGGTAAGTGCTCAGGCCACACTGTTCTTTTCATGAAGGACGTTATTTATGTAGTGATTATGTAATACATTTAAAATATAGTTTATATTATGACTCGATAGATAAAAGTTGTTTTTCTGGAGCTCTGGCACAGAACTGTAAGGACTTGTAGTTCACAATTATTATTCAACTCTCAAAAGTTCACATTTGGCACCAGACTGGAAGAGTTTCATAGGTTAGGATGAGCACAGTTATCTTCCACTCTCTGCTGCTGCTTCTCAGCAAGTCTCCTGAAAGATGAGGAATCTTATCTTGTGGGAAGGACCTGACACCATAAGTTAGGAAATACCTAGCCTTTTCTTTTTGAGAAAGGTAAGCCGATATCTTGGATTTTTTCCAGGAAAGAGCTCATTTCAAATACTACATTGTTTTTCTCATAAATACACTTATCTGTAGAGTCTCCTGCCCTCATTTTTGGGGGTCAGGAATTATGGTCATTATAGTGTTCTGGACTTCTCTAGATGATACTTTAAAGCCAGTTCGAAAGCAATCCTGTGTCCGGGAGACCAGGAGGAGGAGATTTTCAGTCTATCTATTTCCTGGGCATTCATTCACTACCTTGTGGAGTTTTCTGAGAAACACGTACAAATTATAAGTGGCAAGGGAGCCTTACTGACACCAGATGACAGAGAGTTTACACAGTCCATGTAGCTAGGAAAAGTCATTGCTTGACTAACTTATTCTCACAACCACATGCCATCCCAGCCTATCCTTGTTTCAAGAAAACGATGAGGACAACACAGGCTTGGGAGGGAAAATCCACTTAACTGCATTTAAAAGGAAGCGCTGCTTGAGCCCTTTATGGTCCTGTCTGTATCCTTCAGCGCCAGCTTCCGCCTCTCCAGGTGATAATTAAGCATTAGAAGCTGGCTGTGTGATCTCAGGCAGCAGCTTTTAAAGAGAATTCGGATCTAAATGAAGGCACTGGTCCTGTGTGGAGCTTCTGAAAGAGAGCTATGTGTTTCCTGTCTGGTGCCTCATCTCGGGCAGCCCCCGCTTGGGGTAGAAGCCTTCAGAATGAACAGACAGCCAGTTGATTTGCTGGTTCTGTTGCGATGCTTTTGACTGGGACCTTCTTTCCGAGTGAGCCACCACTGACGCTCTTATTTTCTTAATATAACGGTTATTTGGTTAGAGGGAAGTTATTCATAATGTACTGAGAACTGCTTTGATTGGAATGCAATCCTAATCATTAAACCTCTAATTTACCAGCCCAGAAAAGGGCCACATAGCTCAAGGGAAGTGAAGGAGATCTGGCTTCAATCCAAATCACTCAGTGACGTCCAGCGTTGGGTAGATGCCTTGCCCAGCTTTGTCCCTCACCATTTCTGTGTGTGCTCCTTTGAGGCTGGGAGTATGACAAAGACCATCTTCCTGGAAAGATGAGGGCTGGCCTTTCAGTTCAGGCTGCATAAGCAATGGGATCTCCCTACTCGGAGTACTTCTTCAGATCCTGCGATGAAGTCCACAGAATTGCTACTTATTTAATACCCAGGCCATGCGGCTTTGGCAATAGAAAAGGCACAGTTCACACTCTGAAAATGTCTTAAAATTATCCTGTTACACATAAATAGGCCTTTTAAGCTTACTAAGCCCTTTGCCACACATTATCTCATTTAATTCTCAAACTGTGAAGGAGGCAAAGTAGATATTATTATCCTTATTTTAAAGATAAAGAAACAGACTCAGAGAGTTCCAGGGACCTGCTCAGTGTCGCGCAGTTGAGGCTGGAACCTAAGGCCTTTGTCTCTGCAACTGCCAGTCTACTTCCCACCCCACCCCAGGAAGTCAGAAACAGGAGAGCTTTTCTGAGCACCTGCGGGTTTACTGAGCACAACCTGTGGCCAAGGCTGCAGGCACACGAGGTTTCTACAGCAAAGCTGATAGGCCGAGAGTCATCTGTGTTTTCCTGCTAAGAATCCCTTGGTGGTGATGTGATCCTACTATCCACATACCTGTGATAGCATCTGGCTTCTTAAAGCCTTGATGGTGGCCTGTTTCATCCCTTACGCCTGCCTCCACCAGCAGCCCGGCCGCAGTCTTACTCCCCTCATCCCGAAGCTGGGATTGGGGCCACCAGGAGTGCAAGTGGAGCCCAGGGATCAAAGAGGTCAGAGATCATTAGGGACACAAAGTCTGGGTCTTCACCAGGGGCTCCAAACTCAAATGTGAGGGCTAGAGGGTGACGTCAGTGGGTGGGACAGGCCTGGTGGGGCGGAGGGCGAGCTGAGAATGTCTGTTTCCCCTAAGAGGGCGTCTGTGCTCAGCACTAGCTGAGGCGGACACGCCTCTAACCTGGCTCGGGTTGCCAGATCCTGACTCGGTTTTCCAAGAAAATCTGGAAACCTAGAATTTTATGTAAATTCTCCTGATTGGATTGTTAAATATTAAGGGTTGATTCAAACACTTAAAAAACTCTGTGGATCAAGAACAAACAAAACAGTCCTCGAGTCTCTGTTGCAACCTCTTCTCTTTATAATTGTAAGTAAATAGAGTGTTTTTTTCGGAGAAATGCACAGAACATAGAGATGCATCTTGTTAAGAAGCATCTTTATTACCAGCAGGGTCTAGCATCTTTCCCACATTTGTGAGAAGGACAGAAAGACAGACAGAAGGGATTAATAAACTGTCGGAGTCAGGGTATACACAGAACTTCCAAATGATCACTTTTAGGCAGGATCTGTTTGAATATCCACCCTTATACTTTTGAACAATAGGTTTCTTTTCTCCCCACGTCCGTCACCTGGTGGACGAGGCCCTGGTGCAAAGCCTTTCCACAGCAGCACGGGCTGCAGGCTGGGGCAGGGGGCATATTTAGACCCCCACTCACTAGCTAACACACGTCTTTCCCTCTCACCCAAGAAAGCATGTTGGGGTCTAAATAAGTGAGAATGCTAAAAGTATAGGAACGGACTTCCATGGACCTCAATTAAGCTTTTTAAAAGCAAATTCATCACAAACATTGGCATTTTACCTGTCATCAGTAATAGTTCACTTGTGGCACAATGCACAAAGTTCAGGACAACATGGTTAAGAATTTTTTTTTAAGTAAATGGGGTATATTGTTAAGCTTCCCAGATAGACCAGCGCACTCTATCTGTGGTATTTTCAGCCAAGGCATGGTTGCCTGGGTTGACTCCTCCAGCTTCTATATTCACTTGTAGGGAATCAGTTACGAGGATCTCAGGTAGGTATGTCATCAGAGACACGTGGGCTCGTAAGACAGGATAAAAGCAATAAAAGACCATGTTCTCCAAAACAATCAGTGAGTTAGAACCCAAACATTTCCACGTCACTACCTGGCAGCAGGGAGCCCCCACCTGAACTGGCATTTGGATGATGTGAAATCGAGTCCTGCTCAGCAGCACAAACCTGGAAACAAAGGATTCCCATGTTATCCATGTTCTTTGCTTCAGGAATCGATCGGGAAGATGCAGACGCTGAGCACGACAGCTTTCCCTGTTACTTCCCAAGTTAGGATGATCTGCTTCCTTTCCATCCCATCAGAAAATGAAACTTTAAGAGGTGGGGACAGAAACCAGATTCAAGGGAGAAGAGAGAGACAAAGAGGTGACTGGCAATCTGATAAAGGATGCCTCCTGGGGAAAAGGTGTCTGGGTCTTAAAGGCAGACTATGACAAAATGAGAGCAGAAACAACTCTATTTTTTCTAGGTTACCATAGGGAACCAATCTAACCTATTTTACAAGTGGTCTTGGGGGAAATATCTTTAAATAGCTATCTTGTCACCATCCTTTTCATCATCTTCCACGATCACTTTGGGTTGCTCGTCCCTGAGCAGTGTCACACCTGCAAAACAAAGCACAGATCTGCAATTAAGTGCCTCTAATTAAAACAGTAGACAACCTTACAGCAAAGTCACCGTGCACAGGAGCATGGCAACCCAGAAACCTTTTAGTGTCTGCAAAGCCACCTACTAATGGTGCCAACAGGGACAGGGGGAGCTGGGTGGCCTGATTTGGCCTTCCCAGAGGACCTGTGGCTCAGTGAGGGCACTGTTCTGGTTTCAAGAGATGCTCAACTTGGGAGTCAGAGACAACCTTCACCTTCCGTTGGTTCTGCATTTAAATTTACAGCAGTAGGAAGGAAAGCATATGGATTTTGGAGTCCAACTCTTTGCCACTCACTTCATCTGTATCGGGCCAGTTAACACCTTAAGACCTAAATTGTCTTGTATGTAAAATGAGGGCACTAATACATAAAGGGTTATTGTGACAAATAAGAAGTGCATAATAATGCTGAGCACAGTGCTACACCTGTGAGCAACCTAATTTTTGCTTTCCTTCCACGGTTTGCTAGTTTATTTTCCCTTTGAAAAGAACTGGTAAGCCTTGTGAAGTCAAATTAAACACATCTTACTAACATCTAGGGAAAATATTGAGCTGAGACTCTGAACGTGCCATTTCTAAATGTCAGTGCTGGTAGATGAGAAAGTTTACGTGGTTTAGAGCAAAATGAGAAAATAAGGAAAGCGTGGTGACTTTTTCATACAGCTCTATGGCTACAATTTAAAAAGTTCTTCGGGATGATTTTTTTTTCTTCTTTGGAGTGGGGGTTGAAATAGCTTCTCTTCTATGAAATTTCAGGGATGTTGGTTGGTTGTTTTTTCAGCAGCCTCACGAGGCAAAATTTGAAGTTGCGATCCTGATTCCATGTTTGGCTCCACAGCACCTTGTTTTTAAAAGTTCACTGGTCTGTGAAATTCAGTAGCCTGAACACCATTTTCTGGACTGATCAGCCCAGAGAAGACCATCCCAGGAGGTCTGGGCGGTTCTGCTATCCTGTGAATTGTGAAGTGGGGTTATCTTAATCAAAGGCAAGGAAGCTGTGATCCAAGGCCAGCCCTCCACGCGTTCTGTCATTCTCACCGCAGCCAGCCAGTTCTGCTTCCCCACCACGGCCTTGCACCGCCCCCCTACCCTCCTCATAATTAGAGACTCTTCCATTCAGGAAGGATTTCACAAAGATCTAAACTGGAGGGAGGAGAGCCGTGCACCACGAGAGGCCTTTCTACCACACTGGACTCCATTCAACAGTGGCAAATTAATGGAAGCCATGTGTTGATCTTAATGGCTATTCATTCGAGTCAGTCCCTAGCTTGTTCATATGGGTTCTTTACCAATTAGCTGATATTTACTGGAGGAGAAAAACACTGTCAGGAGTCTGGCTGATACTGGGGCTTTCACATAAGTCACATATGAAACACGGTGGGGGGTATTATTCTCTTAGATCAGCCGCATAGAGGGTTGGATTTTTATTTAGAATTCACGCTCTCTTGGTAGGAGAACACAGAGGTAGCTCTGCTGAGCCCCCACGCATTCCATCCTTCCTTTCTTGACATTTTTTCACATTAAACCAAATTCAAGTTGCAGTCAAAGTGGACAAGAACCCTAAACTCCCAGATCCCAGTCAACTTTCTGGGCATTTTGGGTATCCTTGAAACCTAGTCATGCATGATCTGGGCCAAAAAAAAAAGTCCTAGGATTTTGAAGAAGGGAGGAGGCTGTTTAATCACCAAGGTCAGCCCTTTGCAAAGTGGGGTTGGCTTTCCACGGGGACATAGGAGATAATCTCAAGTGGAAAGTGTACTAGCATTTGTATAAGTATAGTTCAGCATTCATTTGAATGTCTTATAATGAAAAATATATATGGTAACTCATCAAAATCTTGATTTCATGGATCTCATTGCTTAGGATGACACTGAAATCAGTAGCATCTGTTCTTATTCTTGATGCTTCGCATCATTGGCTTTGGTCATTTGAAGATGAATGAGGTATGATGAACACCAGCCTGTCTGGTTTCTATCATATCTGATCCAGTCCTGATCCTCACATTTTCCTGTGGAAGGAGGTGTGTTAGTGAAGGAATGTGCTCTAGAGCCAGAAAGCTTTACCTTTGGTGGCCATTCCACTTGGAGCAGGTCACGTAACCTGTCTGAGCCTCAGTTTGTTCATCTATAAAACTAGAGGAAACATAATTTGTCTCTCCCACGGGGGGCGATGCTGCCATGATAGATTTAGGCCAGCATGCTTTCATGCCTCAGCCACACCTCACACGGACCTCCATGAAAGCACCTTCACGTTGTAGGAGTCATTGGACAAGACATCCGTCTTCCTTGCCGCACCGTGAGGCTCCCAAAGGATACTCTAACCCCTAGCACGGGACTTGGAATACAGTTGGGATTTAAGGAGTGTTGGTTCCTTCCCTTCCACTCTCTATGTAGGAAAGTGTAGGGAACTTAGCTGCTTCTTGGAGCTTGGTATGTTTTAAGGGTGAAACCTGTCAGTCCAAGGTCTCTGAGGGCCAATTAGCCTCGCAGCAAGCTGTTCTAGGCCAGGATGGACCCAGAGCACCATCTAAAGCTGCTCACCTGCATTATAGGTGCCTTGGATCTAAGGCAGCCCCAGCTAAGACACCACCGCTCCTCGTAAACCACATCAGGGCGGGTGCTTTGTTCCCAGTGGGACAGAAGAGGGGGGGCAATTTCAAAGGGCACATCAGTCCCCTTTTTACAAGTACACTGTTGAGCTCTGATCTTTAAGTGTTCAAAGCTCATGGGCCAATTTTCTAAGAGGCTTCTCTTTAATGCTTCAGTATTTTTCCTGGTTCCTTTTGCCACAGGCCTCAACTAAAGGCTTCATTTCCTCTTGAGCAGGTCTCGGCTACTCAGATCTGACCGATCCCAGCCCAGTGCTCCCTGCCGTGAAGTCACTTGGCCCTGCAACTGCAGGCCACGCTGGGAGCAAACCTTGGGCTGGCAAGGAAGCCCAAGATGACTCCTCACTGCTCAGAGGAGTTGTCTGGCAGTTGGAAACTGTCAAAGCAGCTCATTAACCTTGGGGATGGAGGTAGTTAGCAAGAGATTTAGAGGAGAGAGTGAATCCTTGTCCAGTCTTCACTTGCCAAGGGCTAATGAGAGGAGATGCCTCTGGAGCGCATTTTTCTGTGAGTTGCTCTCAACACCCTTATTAGAAGCAATGTGAGTCTCTCTGAACATCTGCTGAAGGCTCTATCCTTATCAGCTTAACTAGCATTTCGATTACTGCCAAGTCTTTAGATACTAAAAGGCTCTTCAAAAATAAAGCACTCTAGCTAATATGCTAATAAAAGCTAGAATCATCGAACACGATCTATAATTGCAAATACTTGTGACACAGGGATCTGCTGATTCAAGGAATTCTATAATGTGTTTAGAATCCATGAATACGCAACCCCCTCCCCAACTCTTACGTACTTTGCATTGTTTGAAAAACATTTTTTATTCAACTGGGAAGCTGCTCTCTTAGGATGTCGATATTGGGATGTAGGCAGCCTCCATAGCCAGAGAAACAGAGCTCAACATTTTAGGAAGTTCCTTGAATCAGCAGGTTGCTATGGAGATGTAAACCATTGTGGCTAGAAAAAGTCTCACCTTTAGAAATGGTTTGACTTATCTCAAAAAAATACAACATTGAAAAGAGAATGGAGGCGAACTAACATTTTTGGAGGACTTTCAATAAGCCAGGAACTGTGCTACATGCTTTATACACTTTATTTAATTATGTTAACAACCCTGGGAGACAGATTTTATGGTTCTCCTTTCAGAGGTGGATGAAATGAAGGAGACTTATAGTTCCTTCCGCATAGGTAGGAGCGCCGGTAACCTGAGTTGCCCAGGGTCACAAAGCTAGAGTGGAGAAGAACCAGAGATCAAAGCGATGCTTTTCTGACTCCAAAGGCCATGTCCAATGCTGTGTCCTAAGGTAACCCTCTGTCCGTAAATATTTTTGTTCCTCTACCACGTCTTCCTCCAGAAGGACTTCAGTGAAAACAAATACAAGAATCAGCAGAAAACAGTGTCTCCTAATGGAGAACTTGAAACTGCCGAATCATGATTGTTAAACAGAATATCGAATCAACAGATTGAGCGCTGCTGTCTGGGAGGGACTGGGCCAGAGGTCAAGGCCAACACCAGCAACAGGCCAGCTCTCCTGAGTTCATCAGGAAAGTCTCTGATGTAAGTCAGTGTAAAGGACAGTTACAATAACAGCAACACGAGTAAGGCCAACACTAGAGGAGAGGGCGAAGTCTGGGGATCTGCATGCCCATGTCTAAAACAGAGTTAGTTCGTAATAAGCAAGTTTCACTTTGGACTTGGAAGGTCTGCTGACACAGACTTTAAGCTGGCTGAGTCTTAAAAGGTGACTAGAACGTGGACAGAGGCAGAGCTGGGAGGAAACGTGTGATGGGTTGGAGGATCAGTACAGCTAGGAGCGCCTGTAACCTGAGAAGCAGGACGGAGGCAGGTTCAGACCCTCCCAACAGGTCCTTGGTCCGCTTCTCCAGACAAGTGCCTCCTTATGCGCCTTGCCTCCTTATGCGCCTTGCCTCCTTGCCTGTCTCTTCTCAGAAATCAGTAGCCCTGTCTGCACCCCTGACTGCCTTTTCATGATGTCATCTGAGGTGTCCTTTGATTTTTTCTTCACTAAATGAAGCAATGGGAAAATACGGTTTTATAATAGCAACCAAATCTCCTCCCCAAAGTGTCCCTTCTGGATTGCTGTAATGCTACAGGTCCAAACGGCATCATGGTGCAGTGAAAAACTGCTCACAGATGAGACAGTTCTGCGTCAGAGCCCCAGCTCTGTCACGTAATCGTGCTTGGTCACGAGCATAATTTAATCCACTTTCTATCCTTCCAATCATCCCATCATCCATTAGCTAATCAGCCACCCATCCATCAAGTTCATCAACAGAAGACTTTAGAGTTACATTCTCTCTCAGTAAAGGGAGATGATAGCTACTTTATTGTGTTATTCAGTTGGTTTTTAAAAATCAATGAGACATACCAAACCTAGTACCTAACATTTAACAGGGTTTCAGTAAACATTAGTACACTTTCTCCTCAGCCACTCTCCCACCCCCAACTATCTATATAAAACACACACACACATGCACACACACACTCCGTCTCACACTCTCGTCATGAGTGTACATGTCTTATTCCCCAACCTGTACATAAAATTCTCAGGGACAAGACTACACCTCACACACTGGTGGCCTTATGGCATGGGGTTGTGCACACGGTTCAGCAAGATTTTTTGGTTGGATTTGACACATACTAATATAGCTGTCATTATCTCTGCAGCTCTTTCTCTGCTTCTCCCTCTCTCTCTCTCTTGCTTTGAGGATTTGGTCAATATATCCAGGTGTCTTGGGAGAGTCAGCCATCAGCCGTAGGACACATGACTCATGGAAGGCTGGGGAGGAGGGTATTTAAACTTCTTTCAAGGACCCACTGACATTTCTATTTCATTAGCTCAGTGAATTTGACCAGTTCTGCTGAAGCATGAGTTATGCTCTGATCCTCACCCATCTCCAAGTCAGCCCCAGGGGAGCTGCCAATGAAGGTAAACGTGAAAGGCAGCAGTAAATTCTGTTCCTCCCCTGAGCACTTCTGTGAGACACAGATTGCTGGGCTGGGACAAAGGCCATGCCCATGGCACCTCCAGATGGTAAGGCTCTTGACCTGTTCCCATCGCCCCCTGCAAATGCCCTGCACCAGCTCTTTTACCTGCTGCGAAGGGGGACACGTGCAGGGCAGGTGTGTCTTTTCTCCTTGGCTTTTTCTGTTCCAGGTCAGTGTTATGAAGAGCTGGACTCATTTTGCCCTTTGGATGTCTCTCTTGGACATCATATCTTTCAATTAAATGTTCTGAGAACACACCTGCATAGTTAGGGGAACAGAGGGAGAAACAGGGTCAAATACGTGTATCCTAATACACAAGGTCATATTTGCACATACACCTGGTGATGGCAGTCAGTATGTCTTTTCAAACTTAATAAAAGCAGTTTCTTTATAATAAGAATTAGCATCGACTGAGGCAACACTAGAGAACTTCCTCTATGCAAAGGGTTTTACATGTCTCATTTCATTTTAGCCCCACCAAACCCTGAAGGATTTAATATGACTACCACCATCACTGGGCTGTGGAAAGTGAGGCAAAGACAGGAGCCCAAGGAATAGAGCCCGGGTTTGTCTGCCCCCAAAGTCCATCCCCTTCATAGCAACGGATCATTTCCTGTTCCACCACTACGTGCTACACTCTCCAATGACTTAAATTGTTCTCTACTTCCACCCACCTGCCTCGTCCCCTCTCTTCTATGCGTGAATGTTTTCTCCATCATTTACAAACTCTCTAAATACAGTCTCCTGTATACATTCACACTCCACAATTCACTGCCCAGCCTGAGCTCCCGGGGTCCTTATCTGAGGACCCCCATTATGATGTTCCTTCTTCCTGCATATTTCAGCTATTTATGTGTTTCTTTTATTTCTTATAAAACTGAAAGAAAACAAAAAGGTCCTACTGTCTGGCACAGGGAACTAAATTCAGTATCATGTGATAACCAATAATGAAAAAGAATATGAAAAGGGATTATAAATATATGTATAACTGAATCACTATACTGTACACCAGGCATTAACACAACATTGTAAACCAACTATACTTCAATTGAAAAAAAAGTGGAAAGAAACTTCCTTTCCAGAAAGCGCTGTGTTCTGTTTGTTTCATATCCCTCCGAATGGGTTGTGAATAGAGAAGACGTTAAATAAATGGCCTAGGGGGAAGGAGTAAAGGAAATAAGACAAAACTTTTGGAAGCCAGAGAATGTCACATGTCACATGCAAGGTTGGAGAGACTCGTTAGCTGTTCACCAAACCGTTTCGCTTTTCTCCCGGGCACGCAGCTGGGCGGCATCTCTCAGCCTCCCTTGCAGTCAGGTGAGGCCTGTGACTGAAGGACACGATGTGTGCCACCTGCAGGTCTGCCAGTCCTCCGCTCTGTCTGCCCCGTACCTGCTGGATGCCCATGCTCATGGTGACTTTAGAAGCCATGTACGGATGATGTCCGAACCTCCCTCAGCTTGAGTCCCTGAATGACTGTTTGGAGCAGACCCTGCCTCCCCCACCCTCAACTTCCGCTGCTGAGTGAAAAGTAAACTTGTATCGTGTTACCCGCTAATCATTTGGAATTTATGTTATAGCGACTGGCCTTATTGTAACTAAGACAAATGCAGAGATTGTACCAATGATTTAAAAACATCCAAATATTTAAGGAAAACAATTGTAAGGCCAACATGATTAGTGGCCAGCGGTTTTCTTTCACAAATGTGCAAACTGACCTCATTGTCCGTTACCTGGTATGAAAGGTGGGATGTGCAGGGCCGGTGTATCTTTCCTCCTTGGTTTTTTCTGGTCTGACTCGACATTCAGGGCGACTTGTGCATTTTTGCCTTTTCTTGGCTTCTTTTTGAGCTCACAGTCCTTAATAAACTGGTCTGAAAGATCATCTGATTTTGACAAGATGTAAAGAAAAAAAGACAATATTACATAAGTAAGGGTCCAGTCACAGACTGGGTGGTTTCGTTACACATGATGAGAAGGATAGAAGTCATTTGGTCTGAAAAACAAAAGTATGCATTTATCGTGGCCTCTTTTACAGACGACCTTGCGTGCGTGGATACATGTCATAAAAGGGAAAACTAGAATTCTGTAAAACTCCAAATGAACAGAACTCAAATGGGAGGGATAATCAAGGCAAAGAGGAACTATGAAACACTGTTAAGCAAGCCACAGAGTGGGTGTGAGTCACATTGCTGATGGGAGAACGGGTTCTCGGTGCCAGATGCTCCTTCGCAAAATCCTTCGCTCAAGCCTTGCTCGCGGTGGAGAGCCCCAGGGCCAGTGCGCAGCCCGGTGCTCTCCTTGGTCTTGTAGTGAGGTTCTCAGTCTACTCCTGTTCTATGAAATTGCACTATGTATACAGCACTGGACTATATGCTTTTAAGTTTAAACGCACACACACCAAAAAAGGAGGCGAGAGGGGGAATGTACTGAGTACTACTTACATATTAGGTGACATCACATCATTTTAGTGTGTGGGATGGACCAACGCCTTTTCTGGATCATCCAGAGAAAAGCTGTGTTTCACTAGCTGTTAAATAGTCGCACCATCCTGAATGTATTATCTCATTTAATTCTCACACCATGCCCACGAGGGAAGGTACTATTATTACCCCTAATTTGCAGATGAAGGAACTGAAGGCGAGCTAAAAGGCTGAAGGTTTCACTGCTGGCAGGTTATGGCATCAGGCTGAAAACCAGGCTCTTGGGACTATGTATCTTAATGCCTGGTTGAAAATGTAATTTTAAAAATTTATGACCACTTAGCACAGTTAATTTCCCCCATATTATACAAACTGTGGACATTTGTTGAATGAATGAAAGTGGCTCAGAATGGGTGCTGCCCAACTGTGGGGTCTCAGGCTAGCTATGGACCAGCCAGGCGTCACCATTCAACCCGGGGATGCAACTCGGGGCCCCGTACAGACAGCGAGACATTTCCTTCAATCCTGACATTTACTTTAATTCCACTTTTCCTCATTTTTGGAGAAATCCTGAATATAAAATATCTTGATGGCAAATGGGTAGAGGGGAGAGGCGGGGCGGGGAGTCATAACCAGGCGAGGCATAAACAAAGGCTATGAATATGCAAAAGGCCCATCCATCAAAAGTCTGAGTGTCTCATTTTTAGAAATGGGTAGAGGCAGAAATGTTTCTGGTATTTTCATTACAAAGGTTATGCAAAAAGTCAGTTCTGGAAAGGAAACAGATTGACAATAAAGCAGAAAAAGGCTATTTAAAATTCCGTCTTGATAGGCAAAGAGAGATATTTGAAATATTTTATTGGCACTGCACATGGGGTGTAAGTGTGCCGGGAAATACTGGAAACAAGCTATGCAGCCACATTCCATTTATTGCCTCAAAAATGCTCTGCCTGGGACTCTGTCAGACCCCAAAAAGAGGACAATGCCTTTTCTCTCTCTTTTTCAATTCCAATGAACGTCTCTCCAGTGCTTCTGCTAATATTTACATGGCAGACCCCACAGACCCATGGCTATTTGCCTGTCCATCTGGTGTTGGCTGTCACCAGAAGTCACACACTATCGGGTGGCAGGGGGCCTCCCTCTGACTTGCTGGCAAACCAAATGGCAGAGACGCCCCCTTTCTGACTTCCACCACTGACAGCCACACTGGACCATTTACCCAAGTGGCCACAATGAGGGTCGAGCTTGTCCAGTCTGTCTTCGGAGAGCTCGAGTGGCTGCATTTGCTCAGTGGACATCATCAAAGGAGGGCTGCTGTGTGGATTTCTTCTCCAGCACTACAGAAGGAAAGAAAGAAGCCCACTAGTATGTCTTCTGTTCACTCACTCACTTATTATATAAGTAGACCTCTTGAGCACTTACTATTATGTTCTCAGTTCAATCCTATTTTTTTAAGTCAGCTTATTTTACTTAGCTACTAGAAGTGCTAAATTTATGATTCAAGCCAAGATAAACGGATCTGACACACAGGCACACACACAAACACGCACACAGAGATTTATCAGTAATTGTCATGTATCAGATGTTCAATATTTGCCCTTTTTTGTGAGCACTGTAGGAATTTCAGAATGAACACATGTGTAGTCTGAATTAGAACTGAGTTAGCTGAGAGTTACAGAAAAATCTTGATTAAACCATGCTTATTTTTTTTCCTCTGTTGAGTTCTGCAAAATAGGATTATGCCTACTTTACAGATGAGGAAACCGAGGATCAGAAAATCTAATTAATTTATTTAGTCACACATCAATTAAGTAGCCAAGCTTGGATCCAAATCCATTCCTGCAGACTTCCACTGGACACCCAAGACTTTTAAAACAGCAGTACCTTTGAATCCGAATTGAACTAGGCTTCTGGTTTTTCTACCATTACATGCTTTTAACTACAAAGTAATGAGACTTCTCTATCAATATAACAATGGTGGTAGAGACGTGGTAGGAAAAAATCTAGGTCTTGAAGTAGATCTTTATTATTTTCTCCCTAGAGATTTCTGGCATTAGAGAAAATCTGTTTCCCCTTCCCCCTCCTCCCATCATCCATCTTTCCTAAACCACAAATCCATTGAACTTTCCAGAGCTATTATTTGTAGCCGTTGTCCAGGAGGAGTAGAAATTCAGAATGGACATGTGTCAGGTCTGCAGGAGGAATGCATTAGTTGAGATTTATAGGAAATCTTCATTAGGGTCTGCCTATGTTCTGCTTCTTTTAGATAATTTATTACTGCTGTCCTACCACAGCAAGCATGGTTGGAGAGGAATAAGATTAAAATGACCCTACTGCTCCTCTTTTCTTGAGATTCCTGGATTACTGGCATGCAGATGAATACCCAGATCAATTGTGTTAACATTTCAAGCTCATAGAATTATTTCAACTCAATTGTCTTCTGAGGAATAAGTCAGTGTTCTCTGGGAAGGCTGGAGGGGCTCTCCTGCTACAAGCTGAGATCATTGCGTAGCAGATGGAGCCATTAACGGATTACTTGAGCCGGCTTTTAGTGTCATTCTGAGCAGACCGACTGTGCTGAGTGACTTCAGCAGAAATCAATTCAGACCATTGTTTTTAGTGTTTATATAGAGACTGCCAACTCCCTGGGACCATAAGGAAGTATGCTGTTAACTTTAGTGGCCGGTCCCTACCTGCTTGCGTTAAGAGGAAAGTTACGGGACTGTCACTCTGGTTGAGAGGGCTCGGTGCTGAGGTCTGGTGGCAAAGTTACAGCCCCAGGTATGGCCTGTGCACCTACTTAATCAACCTCCTATCTCTTTGGGCAGAAGGTCATGGGCTCTGTCATAGACTTTGTGCTGAAGATGAGCCCATGGAAGATCTAGTCAAAATATTCATTCTCTAGAAGAAGAAACTGAGACTCAAAAAGCTTAAAATGACCTACAATTACTTGCATGCTTAGAGTCAGAAATCTCATTTGAACTCAGGCCCCCTACCTTCTGCTCTCGGTCCTATCTGGCAGGAGCACCCCTCTCCTTCTCTCCAACCCAAGGTAAGCTGTTCTTTGTACTTGGATCACATGGCTGCCCCTCTGTGCTCAATACCTAGATATTCAATTTGAATCTGAGCTTTAGTCAAACAGATCTAGGTTAAATCTCAGCCCTTTGACTACAAGCCCTTTGGCTTTGATGGAACAGCTAAATCTTCACGACCCAGTGAGGGCAGATGGAGCTCAAGTGCAGTGTAACCATTTTTGCCCTTCCTCCCTGCAACTTACAGCTGCTGTGATAGAATTTGCCAAGGCTAGCCTCTTTGTGGTGCACCCACAGGCTGGCACCCAGGGACATATGTTCCTCTATGCCCCCCATTCTTGGCCTCAGTTTTCTTATCTGTAAAATAGACATAATAGTAACTACCCCGTAGAGTTACTATGAAGATTAAATAGGCTAGCTACATGCTTTGCACACTGTAGGCACTGAGTAACTGGCAGTCATTGTTATGTGACTTTGTCTGCACCTTACTAGGTAGCTGGCTAATGAAGACCAGCTGTCAAACTGAAAAAAATCTAAAACTCATCGACTCTCTGTTTCATCTAGATGTTGAGCCATGGGAGGGCCAGCCTTCATCTGAGCAAACTGGCTTTCTCGGTACTGGGCTTGAGAGAGAGGAGGCTGCCCGTGGGAGATGAACTGTGCGAGGATCAGAAGTCCCTGGACAAGGCAAGTATACCCGGTGATTAGTCACAGAACTGACACACACTTCCTCCCCAGGAGAACACCTCGTGTCTATGGGGGAAACAGCACTGTTGTAAATCAGTGTGAGGGAAAGAATGACGGCAAGCCTCTGCTTGCTAGGGGCTGAGAGATGACTTTCACACCTGGGATTTTACAATACAAAAACACCTCGTGCTGGGCAGGAATGTGTTTTGCCCATGGGATTAGAAGAGACTTTCAGCATAGATGATGTCATTACGATTTTCTTGGCGGAAAACCTTCACACAAAGAAAGGAACAAGTACTCGGAGGAGAGAGATATTTGGAGTTTACGGTCGTCTTATTAATGATTGTCATTTTACCTGCCTGTTGAGTGTTAGTATGAGATGACCCTCTCCCCCGACCCCCTCTGCTTTTCTATCCTCATTGAGAAGGAGTGTTCAGACACTCGAGCCATTGTAAGTCACGAGCTGGTCTAGCTCTTGAACCAGGAAATGGAATATTTCTATTCCTAGTCCTGACTCTGCCCATGCATTCCTCTCCTTAATTCAGTCTCCACCCCAAGCACAGCAAATGGATGTTGCTTTTGCCATGCTGCCCAGGGACAGTTTCCTCACCTCCCTCAGCAGCTCGCTGTAATTTGGGAACTTTCTGAAGCATCAACTCTTTCATACCCAAACGCCTGGTTCCCTGGGTCTTCAGATTCTAACCGAAGGGCTAGGGACTTAAGAGATGCTTTGGGGCTATCATATAAACTAGTCAAAAGATTTGCAACCCTTAAGCATCCTCTTGCCACTTATTGGTTCAGAGTGGTCTCTGAATTTTAATACTCACAGAGTGACAACTTGGACGGCCACCGTGACTGTCAGTATTGGCCCGCCCACCCATTCATGAAAAGCCTGAGGCCATCTGTGCGGTGGAAATCAGGACACTTTTATTATATAACACCTCCAGAGGGGTCTCAGGAAGCACCAAGTCCATAGGCATCACATCACATCCACAGCAAAAATATGAACATTTGCACTAAGTCACATAAATAAAGACTACAAAATGATTCACACCTTTCTTGTCAGGTTTTGCTACCAAATGAGTTTATGTTGAGCTCAACAACAACAAAAACTTTGGGTTTTCAGAGTTTTTCTGATTTCTCAACTAGAGAAGAAAGGGTTGTGGGTCTGTATTATTTTTCTTATTGTTGTTTGAGAGAATGTGGGCGGTTTGGTGTAGCATATACAAGAGGCCAAGCGATGGCATTTCAGGGGTTTGAGGGTCTTCAGGACCACGACGCTAAACTCTTGAAATTCCGCTTGCTGAATCTTACATTCCTCTTCTCAGAGAGACATTTGCAAACACAAATACCACTGGAGAGGAGATGCATTAACTGATGTCACAATATATAGGGATTATTAATGGCAAAGGTCTCTTTCTCTTTTGAGAATGGGACCTGGAGGGGAACTGGGTGCCGGGGAAGGAGGCTGGCTAGGGCAGCATGTCTGAGCAACCTGCTGAAATCGAGGATACATTTGAGGGAGCCTGCCTCCTTCACTAGCTCAGAGCTGGTTCCTATTTCAGGAGTGCTACTTCTTCTGCTAAAAAGGATCGGTCAGTTCAGCTTGAAGTCATAAGCTGGTCTGGGCATTTTTGTCCTTGCTCTTAACACTGAGTAGATTTCCCAGTTGGGTGTTAGAATAGGTGGTTTAATTCATAGGCAGAAAATTGTTCCCTGACTGTAAGCATGTGGTGCTGTGAGGTAGTATGAGGTAGAGACAAATGTTTGATTGCTTATCCTACTCTCTAACTGGGTGAACTTGGGAAGGTTATATGTCCTCTTGGAAACTTAGTTTCCACATCTGTGAAGTGGGCATGATAGTGGCTCTTCTCCAGGGTTGTTGAGAGTGTGTCAAACTCCCAGCCCAGATCCCAGCACATGCTACCATTTTAAGAATATGACTTGCTTTCTTTGCTCTTTCAGTCCTCACCTTGTAATTACGTGTATACCTAAATTGACCCATTGAATCACTTCCTCATCCCATTTCTGACCTTGATGAGATTAGAACAATCCAAGCACAAAGCAACTTGCAGAAACACCAATTTCCAGGTCTTGGGAACATAGTAATACTGATCTTCAAAAGTAAGGTGACACTTCGCTGAGTTGTGTGATATTCTAAACAATTTCCCCAAAGTAATCAAGCCTGGATTTATTTGATGGAATAAAAAATCAGAAGGTTATGTCCACAGCCCAATGTGGTGTCTGGTTAAAGTACCCTCTGGTGATATAAAATTCATATCCTTTGTCAAATCTTTCTTTAACCTGAGGACTGAATTCAGGTCAAAAAGTACCACATTTTAAAGTCAAAGTTTTTCATTTAGAAGACCTAAATTTGCAATATTCCTCAAGGAATGACTTTTACTCAAAGTAGGACATAGAGAGGTTTTTTGATAAGGACACTCTCAACAGCCTTGGGAGGTAAGCCCCTCCATGCTGCTGTGTGCATACGCAGATACACCGGTATTCATTGTGAAACTTCACAACTTAATTTGTGAAGACTCTGGTTCTTGCAGAATTCCGGACTACACTTCCCTTGGAAAAATGACTTGAAAGTGGAGACTCTTTCTGCTCCCCTCCTCGCCCCAGCTTTGTCTTGCTCCAGAAAGCACACTCCTGCCCAGCAGATACCCCTCCACACCCCCCCACCTCCAGCTGCAGCCTCTGTCCCAGCAACCACAAAACAACTTACTGGAAACTGGCTTTTCTCACCATAAAAGTTCTCAGAGTAAAGATCCAAAGCACTTACCAGTCAGTGCAGGTGCCGAGATGTGAAGGCGAGTGATGGAGGAAGCGCTTCCTCCCTGAAGCTGGGCCGGCTCCTCAGTGGCAGTGTCTGCTGCTGCCCGGCTCCAGCTCCTCTTATCAAGGGACCAGCTGCCGCTGTTGCCATGGGGATGCTCTGTTTCTCAGGCGCCAGGGCAAGGGGGATGGAGAGGGAAAGAGGACTCATCTTGCAGTCACTGCTCCCAACTGCAATAATTGTCCATTGCAAAAACCGTGCACAGAGCAGTGCTTTGAGGACCTAGGGTTCAAGGCCGGAGAAGTCCAGACAAACCAGCCGGGTCCTTTAATCTTCATAACCACCCTATGCAGTAGATTTTTCTGGCCTGACTTTGCAAATATGGAAGCTGAGGCACAGAGCTTAAGTGACTTGCCCCAAAGATGTCATAGCTAATTTTGACCCTCAAATCCAGTTTAAATTCAGAGTACTTCTACTTACTGTGGCTGCCTCTGAGAGTAGGATCATGATGAGAAAAACAATCATAGTAGCAATCGTTGATATTTACGTGAGGCTCCCACACGCCACGCCCTCCTCTTTACACACAGCCACCCTAACCCTCATAGCAGCTTTGCAAGATAAGCTGCTGTCATCATGCCCATCTCACTGAAGTGCAAGCAGAGGCCCAAGCTCTCGCCATTAGTAAATAGTGAGGCTAGGGTCTGAACTGGGCATCGAAGGTTAGAGTCCGTGTTTTGAACCACGTTGCAGTCCTACTCATCAAAGACAGAGATCGAACTTAACAAAGACTGTAGCTCTCACCATACAGGTGGGGTGTGGAGGCCAGGAAAGATTTGCTCCTTCAAAGGAACTAAACCGAATACTCTAATATTCGGAATCCACATGCACCCCGGGAAAGGCTTAGGGCCAAGGAGTATTTAAGCAATGTTGGGGGTGGGGGTGACATGCTGTCCGGTGGAGAGGAAGGGTCTGTGTTTCCCGTTAGCTCCCTGGAGGAAATGTCCTGTGCTGACGGGAGGAGTGGAAGTCTGTGGTCACTGGTCTGGGCATCATGAGCATGGAGGTCAGTCTGGGAGGTCGGGTAGGGGCCAGCACAGACTGGAAGGGCTTGAGGTCCCTGAGGGGAGTCAAGAGGCCGCCCCCCACTGCTGCCCTGGAGATGGGGTCTCACAGAGGAGGTGTGAGTGCTTTCCATCCATGCTGTTTTCTTACCTTCCCAAGGCTGCATGTGTGTGGGTCCTGAGAAACCCCTCGTTGGCCTCAACGACGACCTGTTAGTTACCAGCACTGAGTTGGTTCAGGCCTCCCTGACATTTGCCAGCATCCAATAATAAAGCCAGAACCATAATAAACTCATCCTGAGGTTGACCCTTAGGGTTAGAATTTCTTCAGAGACTGTGGTAATGAGTCAGGAGGGAGTAGCGTCCCTGTTTGATCCAGCTTGTCTTGGTCCTCATTGGAAACTTTAGGACAGAGATGAGGCCGCTGAAAGGTAATGCTCCTGGCTAGGAAGGGAGAACCCGGGGTGCTGAGGGAAAGTCCCTAAAAGCAGCTCCTGGTTCCAAACTGACTGCTTTATCCTCTTATCAACAGCCTTGTTGGCCAATGGATTAGCAGCATCTTTATTTCCAAACTTGAGTGGAAAAAAATATACTTTCTTCCTAGACTCTTTAATTATTTTAAAATATTAAACCTTTTTGAGATAATTGTAGATTATCTCAAGAGGTTGTAATAAATAATACAGCGAAATCTCCTGTACCCTTTAAGCAATTTCCTTCAGTGCTATCTTGCAAAACTATAGTATATCTCAACCAGTGTATTGATATTGATACAGTCAAGATACAGAGCCGTTCCATCACCCTAAGGAAGCCTCGTGTCAGCCCTCCCTCCCTCTCTTCCTAACTCTCTCTGCCCCTATGCAATCCTTAACCCTTGGCAACCACTGATCTCTTCTCCATTTCTGTAATTTTGTCATTTCAAAAATGTTACATAGCTGGAAGTGTACAGTATGTAACTTTTTGAGTTTGGCGCTTTTTTTTCCCCCACTCAGCATTATTCCTGGTGATTCATCAAAGTTATTTTATGAGTCAATAACTTGTTCCTTTTTTATCATTGAGTAGTATCCCACGGTATGCACCAAAGTTTAACCATTCACCTGTTGCAGGATATCTAGATTGTACCTAGTGTTTGGTTAGTACAAATAAATCTGTTATGTGAGTTAACGTACAGGCTTTTGTATGAACGTAAGTATTCATTTACCTGGAACAAAGCCCAGGAGAGCAGTTGCTGGCTCATATGGGAACTGCATGTTTAATTTTGTAAGAAACAGCCAAACAGAGCGGCTACACCGTTTCATATTTCCACCAGCCATTTATGAGTGGTCCAGGTTCTCCACAGAGTTGTCAGCATTCAGTGTTGTCACAATTTTTTTTAAGTCATTCTCATAGGTGTGTAGGGTTATCTCATTATGGTTTTAATTTGCATTCCCCTGTTGACGAATGATGTTGAATATTTTTGCATGTGCTTGTTTGTCATCTGTGTGTTTCTTTGGTGAAATGTATATCTTTCGCCCATTTTCTAATTAAATTGCTTGCTTGTTTTTTACTGTTGAGTTTTGAAAGTTCTTTATATATTCTAGATACTGATCTTTCTTTAACAGAAATATATTTTTGCAAATGTTTTCTCCTAGTCGATAGCTTGTCTTTTCAAACTCTTAACAGAGTCTTTTGTAGAGCAAAAGTTTCAAGTTTTTATTTTGTCTCATGTATCATTAAATTAACTTTAAAGCCTATAAAGCTGAGATTATTTCTGAGGGCCTTCAGAGAAGCAGAACAGTGTTAGGAATTTTAAAACACTCTTTTGTCACTGAATTTCCCAAGTTCAAAGGAATTATTTTCAAAGAGAGCAGAATTCTTTATTTCCCCCTTCAGACAGACATGCGCACTTCTCCCAAGCTCAGGTTGCTGGTGGCGGTGGTTTTTTCCAGGACTTTCTATGCATGCTTTAATTGATTATGCCCAACCCCCCTTTTAAGGCAGATGCAAACAGCAACTGAGCTGGCAGATGGTAACGTGAATCTGTACCTCGGAGAGTTCTAAATAACAGCCACATATGTGCAGTGCTGAAGTCATAGACCCCTGGCCTGCAGCGCTCCCCGCGTAAATGCAAGAAGCCACTGTGTCTGTGACATGATTTGTAGGTCCAAGAGCCCTCTGACGTGTGGCTGAATTGGCCTCTGGCTTCATTCCTGATGGATGTCTAGCGGTAACTAGCTTTAAGTGAATATATTTTCATTTTAATCACAAATATTCAATCTTTATGAATAAGAATGATCACAGTGATGGGCATTTTCAGACAATTTATTTCAGTCAATAACCTATCAAATGTGCACTTGACATATTTGCCTTCCAAAATCAATCCAAGGCAGTTTCTGTGTTGATGGGTGACGGCTCCAGCTTTTCAATTGAGAGAGAGAGAGAGAAAAAGAGAGCACTGAATATTTGGAGGCTGGTTTTATCCCAGAGATCTTGCTGGGTCACTTTGGTTACCTCCTTCAACCCTCAGAGAGGGGAATTACGGCTTCAGATCAATATCTTCTGGTAAATAAGTGTCTATGTCTTTGCTTTGGGCAGCTCTGAATACATTTTAGCTCTTCGTAACAGAGGGCTATTTGAGTTAATCTGTCAGAAATTCTGGTATCATTTATTCTCATCGGATTGAAATAAAAACATCGAACACATTTAACCTTCCAGAAATTGTCAAATACTTAATAAGTGCTTATTGAAATAAGAGGTAGCATTATTAATTCATTTGAGATAATTGTAGATTCACATCAATTATAAGAAATAATAGAGAGGGACAGGTGCCTTCTATGTTGTGCTCAGTTTCCTCCAGCGGTGACATTTCGTAAGACTACAGCACGATAATCACAACTGGGTATTGTCATCCATATAGTTCGCTTCTTCTGATTCCTCCAGTTGTGTGTGTGTATTAAGTTTCATACAATTTTAGCTTCTGTTCAGGTTCGTGTATCTACCACCACCATCAAGATACTGAACACCTCCATCACCACGAGGATACCTTGTCCTCTCCTATAACCACACCCGCCTCCCCACCTCCCACTCCTGTTCTCTTTGCCCCATAACAACCTCAGCAGCCACTAATCTGTTCTCTGTTTCTATAATTTTGTTCTTTCCAGAATGTTATATACAAGGAATCCTACAGTGTGTAACCTTTGGCATTGGTTTTTTCCACTCAGCATAATTCTCCGGAGATCACTGTGTGTATCAGTAATTCCTGTTCTTTTCTATCGCTGCAAAGCATTCTATGGTGTGGATATACCACAGCTGGCTTAGCCATTCACCTGTTGAAGGATATCTGGGCCAACTTCAGTTGTTATTTATTACATATAAAGCTGCTATGTACACTTATGTACGGGGTTTTGTGTGAGCATAAGTTTTCATTTCTCTGGGATAAGTGCCAAGGGGTGAAAATGCTGCTCTGCATGGCAATTGAATGCTTAATTTTTTTTATGTGCCACACCTTTTATTCCAATCACCTCTCAAAACACTTTCAATGTGGCGACAACTGAAAGAACACATACACCTGGGAATGAGGCGGTGCATTGCTTAATTTTATAAAAAAATCTCCAACCAATTTCCTAGAGTGGTTGTATCTGCTTACAGTCCCACTAGCAATGTGTGAGTGCCCTAATTTCTCTGCATCCTTGTCAACATTTGATGTTGTCACTATTTTTTATTTCAGCCATTCTAATAGGTGTGCAGTGGCATCTCACTGAAGTCTCAATTTGCGTTTCACGGATGGCTAATGATGTTGAACATCTTTTCATATACTTAACTTTCTATTCGCATATCCTCTTCACTGAAGTGTCTCTTCATGTCTTTCGCCCTTTGTTTAATTAAACTGACCAATTTTTACTGCTATGTTTTGAGAGTTACTTGCATACTCTAGATAGTTGTCTTTTGTTAAGTAAGTGGTTTGAAAAGGTCCTCTCATGGTCTAGCTTATCTTTTCATCTTCCTCACTTGGGTTTCACAGAGCAAAACTTTTTAAATTTGATGAGTCTAATTTGTGTAGTAGATTCTCCATTGAAACCATTTGGGCCTAGACATTTCTTTTGAGAACTTTCAAATTACAAATCCAAAAATTTCTCTACAGGTTCTAGGGTTATACAGAAGACCTACTTCATTTTGGTT